GCCGCCCGGCCCAGGTCAGCCGCCGAGTGGCCCAACTGCGCGGCGGCCCACGGGCGGAGGGCGGAGGGTGGTCAGACGCTTGGTCCGTTTGTTCGTCGGTCGTCGGTAGAGCAGTCGAGATTCGGAAGGTCGAGCTGCCGCGGTCGGGCCGTCGGCCATCGGCGGCCGACGCGCAGGTCAACGGCCCCGAGACGGACTATGAGGCCGACGGACTGAACCGGTCCGCCGGGCCGCTCCCTGAGCGGCTGCCAGTGCCCGCACAACCGGGCGGGACCGTATTAGTCACTTCAGTCCCACTCGGTTTGAAAAGCCTGACGTAGGCCTACCGCAGGTCTAAAGCATAGCCTTCATCCAGTCAGACTGGCAAGTGGCAACCCTAAGAGGAGCTCGGCGCTATAGGGTGCCACTGCAGACGGGGTGCAGTCGGTCACAGCTGACCTGGCGAGGGCCTCTCAGACTGCGGAAAGTGCGTCGTCAGCGCCGGCTCGCGGTCACAGTTCACGAACAAAGGCCGGCTGCAGGACCGCCGCGCACAACTAGATTCAGCTGGGCTCACGGGACAAGGACGGACCGGTCGGCGGCGGCAGGTGTGGGGATGATTACAGCAATGGGTTCGTACGGAACATGACATTTTCAGTGTCCTGTCAACTTCATTACCAATGTTAGTCAATATCAATTAAATCGAAATCCACCCGAGAGGGAAGACCGCAGACCTAGCAGCAAATCTGAAGTCAAATCTATGAAATTAATGGACGCAAAGTCACGAATGGGAAAGCACAGTAAAATGCTGAACTTCCTTCGAACTGAGAACTTGTCGCATCATTTATCATTCGCTGTCTCATACCAAAAGACAAACGATGCCGACGCCCGACATGAGATCTGAGCGTCATTCCCTGGGATTATGAGTTACGGAACGTTTACTGGAGCTTTAAACAATTTCCTGGCCCAGCGATCTTTCCTCAAACACCCTCCCCGCCATCTCCGGCAGTGCGGGTAAGCACCATCGACCGCAGCAGCACTGCGCCAGCCGGCACATCTATCAATATTCGGCCGCGTCACACCTCGCCGAGGGCTCCTGTCGATGTGCCGGGTCCCGGACGGAGAGCCGACGGTGGGCTCATTACGGCAGCACGCCACGGCACAAGGTAAACAGACGGCGCGGCACGCCTGTTTTACCAGCTGGCGCCGGCAAACCGGGCGCGGACGACCACACCGCGCTCCGTCAGCGAGGAGAAGGGTACTAAATACAAGTGGAACGGTCCGTGACCCACGCACAAGCAGGCTGTATACAATTAAGAAAAAAACTGGAGGAATGCATCACCAGATGAGAGGTCAATGAGGTCATTAAAACTAAGTTTACATGGTTTTGATCGCTGCTGTGTTGTGCTTTGACGAGCATGAGCCTCATGTGGAGCAGAAACTCCGATGCCGAGACGGTCCGGTTGGAGCGTCACGACTGTCAATGAGCGACGTGCAGAGTTTCACGTATGACGCTTTAAACAAACGCCAACCACGGGATGGCACGCCTTTCAAATAACACACCAGGCAATCTTTTCTACGTGGTGGGAATCGACGCCGCTTCAACCGCTTGTAACAGACTGCCGTTCTTCCGGCCTAGTTGATGCCTTTGTTTACCGTTGCAGCAATGCGGTCTGATTCCCTTCCATCGTAGAAGGCCCAAAGGCAATTGCAGTGACGGAGCAATGGACTGCTGAAGGAGAGCAGTTCCGGGAGGACTATCACAGAACCGCGCAGCCGAGGCGTCAGTGATGCGCATTGCGCACTTGGCACCGCCGCCCAGTGCGCCTCTCACGACCGAGGTGACGATCAAAACAGGACATATGCGACGGTGTTCGAGATGCGCGCGTCAGAGGACCGCGCCGTGGCTACCAGTCACTCCTTCAGCGAACGTGACGCAGCGGCCGAAATGACGCGGCCGGACCGGCCCGGACCGTCACCGAGTGTCAACAGTCGTCACGTGTCCCGATTTGACCAATGGCGCCGCGTTCCGCCGACGACACGGACCGAACACACCCACCCGTTCAGGGACAACATAGTGCCCACCTCGACCGCCCGTCCGGCCGGCTCGCCGAGCCTACATATCCCAGCTGACAGATGGGTCACTGAGCGAGGGCGATAAACGGACACCTGCGGCCGGCCGGTCGGTCGGACCGCCGACCGTGCCGCTCAGTGGCCCGCAGGGCGCGCTGTGCCGTGATCACATCAGTCCGCGCGGCGGCCCCCTGATCGATACCCAACACAGCCTGTCCGACTGCGGGCCGGGCGCCACCGCACCCACCCCCACCACAGGTCCATCGACCGGCGACACAAGCAAAACAAAAACATACCGGCGTGCGAGGGGCGGCAGTCAGGATAGGCCGATAGGGTTAGTCAGGACGGACCGACGGCGGGGTGTGCCGCCGACCAGTAAATTATCTACATATAACTATGGAGTTAACAGCAGTCCGTTGACAAACCGCATGTGCATGCAAAACGCGAGTACCCCTCGCTATTGCCAGTCTTGTGCTTGCGTAACCCGATGTCGATAGTTAAGTGCCGTTCTGGGATCACATTCCGAATCTCCCCGGCCTGTTTTGAAGCGTGAAACTGTGCGTGGGCCACACTCGACACCAGCTGATAGGAGGCTGCGGTATCAGCTTACGGGCATCGACACCAGGCAAATAATCGTTCTCCATTTAATACGCACGCGTGTGTCACGTACCCACTACCCATACAAGAGCACCCAGTGGCCGGGTAATGAGTGTGCTATGCTATTCAAAAGTCCTTTGATATTTACATGCCTGACATGTGCTTGCCTGCCCACATGACCAGGTACATCGGCATCCATCTTTTTGTTTCAGTACTAGCTTATCAGTACTAAGAACTAACCAGTTATCTATCAGATATATTTTGCCTACCAGTACCATCTACCTGCATAGTGCATACCTACCTACCAACTTGCCCACCTGTCAGTGACATGTCTCTATGCTTGCCAAATAGGGCACCTCCCACACAACCACCTCCCCCCCCCCCCCCGTGACTGTAGAACGGGCCGTCGGATATAACAGCTTCTCCCAACCCCACCCCACACAGAACTGCCCCGCACGGTGCCGCGCTTCTCCGAGGGAGCCAGGGCAGTCCCCGACGGTTGTATTGGCATGGCCACAGAGACCGGCCTGGTGCGGCCAGACGCCGACAGAGACCCGGTGCGGCCAGGGCCGACCGTTCGCGGGAGCAGCCCGCCGACGGCAAACGACACCGCCAGCTCGGCACAAAGATGCACCGACCGCCGCAAAAACCGGGACACCACACAAAGGCAGCAGTGATTTGCTGCTGTCCGCAACTCGTCACAGATGGTCCCATACTGATGAATGTGAATATCGTGAGGACTGGGAAACGGTGGAATGCAATTTACGGAATGCACTACAGCTAGAGTGAACATTGACCGGTGACCAGTGTTCCAATTACTCCCGTAGTATGGTTTGCTACTTGCCCTTGAAGACAAACGTTATAAACATGCAAATTTATGTACATTTAGTACAACACACAATTAAGTTGCTCAATAACCAAATACCACAGCTAAAGAATAAATGCGGCAGCGGGTAGTCAACCAACCAGCGCTCTGCAGCCATCGACCGCGTGTCACAGCAACATGTTCAAAGCCAACAGAAAAGAAAACGATCTATGGCGTGTTATGCATCGAATCATCAAACGCGTTCTATTTATCTAAAGCAATTATATCATAAGAGACACGGATAGCAGAGACGTGAGCCATTATTTACATATTTACCGTTGAGAAAGCAGGAAAGCCTAATAAAATGTGATTACGGAGCGAGCGAAGCGAGCGGAGTCTTACGTAGAATAACGGAAATTTCTGAGTATGAGCGGCCGGCCGGCCGGCCGGCCGGCCGGCCGGCCGGCCGTGCGGACGCTTTTGCGAGGCTTATATCTCAGCAACCACTTGACCGATTTACATGCGGTAATTTTTGTAGGGTAGCTTCATTCCTTCTACCAAGTATTGTACTATTCCCGATGCATGTGGGTGACCCCTTATGCACGTGCCACGTGCAAAACGAAGAGGTGTCACTTTTCTAACTGTTGCAATATCTCGGTAACTACTTGGCCGATTGCGCTGAAAGTTGGCATGTAGGTAGGCACCCACTAGGCACTGCATATCCATGTGCCAGAGTTGGGGTGCTGCTGCACGTGCGCACGTGCAGGGGTCGATTCCAGATCTCGAGAACGGCTGGACCGATTGCGCTCAAATTTGGTACGCGGTTAGGGACCGGTTAGTAGGGTGCCGTGCAAAAGTCAGTTGGGACCCATGTTGCACGTGCGCACGTGCAGGACGCCGCTTCCAGATCTCGATAACGGCTGAGCCGATTGTGCTCAAATTTGGCACATCGCTAGAGACCGGTTAGTAGAGTGCAGTGCACAAGTCAGTTGGAGGTACCCCCTCGAAATTTCGCACGTGCAAGGCCCACCCTCTCGCTCGCTCCGTTAGTCGCCCCAAAAGGCGTTATACTGGTAGGTAACTGATTTAAAAAATACCATTCGTCTCAGCTAAGCACAAGTGCATGGTCGAAATTCATGGGCAGCAAACCTGTCCCGTGCATCAGGTGTCGAACGGTACGCCCTTTTCTCAAAAGGTCGGCGCCGTGCTCGCCCGCACGTGACCACCGTTAAATGCCACAGAACGTGTGACATACGGGTGAGCCTCCACCACAATCGCAAAAAAGGAGGGCTAGGGGGAATCAAACATCGCAATTAGGAACGACCAGAGTGTACTACAAAAATACACGGTACGGAGGGGGCATGTAGAGACTACGCAGCTGGTACAGCAGGATGCAGGAACACACCGGGGTGCGGGCACGTGGCTGGTGCAGGAGGTACAGACTGGGAAACGGGCTGACGCAGGACTGGTTCATGGTTGCTGTGTCCATGCGGCCCGCGGCTCCCAGGGAGCGGGCCCGTGGCTGGCGCTGCCGGTAGGTACTCACGAGACGCAGTCTTTGGGCGAGTCACGCCGAGAGGAGGCCAGCGAGCCGCGCGTGGACGTGGCGTTGCTCTCACGCTGCGCCTCCCGCAGCAGGCGCAGGTAGTCCTCGCTGCCCAGCGGCAGCGGGGTAGCGCGCCGCGGCGACGCCGTCTGGTACGTCAGATCCACCCAAGACTCTGCCAACAGCAGCAGATAGTCACCTGAGGGCCTAATGGAAGTCAATGCAGGAAAGCCAGAAGAATTGACTGACATCATTGGAAATAATGCCCTTTGCAGACTCAAATCAAAATGGGTCAAAAAACATATGTTCTTGAAAACAAATATTTGTTTTAGCACCTCGGCTCTTCCAAGTTCTTGATCCTACATGATAAGTATGCATCCCAGTAGCCACTTATGATTCTGATTCACACCAGATTTTATTATCCAGGATCATGGGTTGCAGAATACAAATATCTGAACACTCATCAAGCAAATGTTCATGCAGTCACAGTGGTTGTAATTTTCCAAGGTGTAATATCATGCAACAAAGCACAGCTTACAAATTAAATGATTGTGCAATAATGATTAATTAAAACAACTATGGGCTAAGCATGTGATGATGTTTGAGTCAGCAGCACTAGATAAATTACAGGGTGTCTCAAAAGTTCGCTTACAGGTACCAGCCATGCTTTTTTGTCAATAATTCTGAATCAACATGAAATTAACAGTCGAAATTTTGCATGGGCATTGGTACCAACCTTCCTCAAGCAGCTTCATTGTTTTCAAGCGCATTCGACCCTTCATGAGCTCACAAAAAGGGTTCACCTCTGACCATGGATCAGGCATGAAAATGGATGTCGCATACTCGGGTCGGCTGAGAAACTCTCTGCTTCACGAGTAATGGGAATGGTTAGGTCGGAAATGACACATGGCAAAGTGTCGGCGAGGATGAGTACAACATGATGGTCATCTAATAAAAACGGTGGCTAAAATTTTTGAAGGACAAAACCATGCGAGACTAACAGCGCTTTGAACGACCCTTGTACCGCAGCAGACTCGTGCTCCGGAAAGCAGCTGAAAATGCAGTCCTAACTATTGAAAACTGACTAGAAGCTCACAGACAGAGGTTACCCAGTTTCAAAAATTGCAGGTCATCATAAAATAAAGACAAAATATCATTTAAAATTGTTTATAATATCTATAACGCTAAATTTTGAGGGAAAATAATGCGAAAATCGTCAATGCCGAGGACAAGTGACCCTCCAAAAGTGTCAATTAATGTAAAGTTTTATCTAACGAAGTTTCAAGAGGCAGATCTGGAGCAAATAGCTTTCTTTTACACACAAAATCCGAACAAAACCGCACGATGGACAGGTTTTGGCCGTTTACAAAGCAGAACCTCTCCTGAGGAAAACACTCCGGAACCCAGCGAAGGTCTTGGCATTGGGAATGACGAGCGTTCAGGATTTGCAAATTTTGCAAAATGTGTCTAAGAAACAGATGGCCGACACATTCTGCTACGATATGCTGCGAAAAATTTGCCCCTGGCACTTCCCATTTGTTCAGGAATGGGGTTGTTTTGAATAGGAAAATGGTGCTTGGGAGGTCGGCGCCAGTCATTCATGAAGGAGTTAGCGCCAGAGAAGACCTACAAAATACTCACGGATGGTGTCGATGCAAGCTATCGGCTTTCAGGGAGAAGCGGATGTTGCCGGGGAGCTCGTCAAACCTAAATCCGACGCAGAAACTGCGAGGGATTCCCCTACAAGAGCTTGAAAGCTGGTAACCTTTTATCAGCCTCCGGCAGCTGACGGAGTGACGAAAATCGGTATGGGCAAATATTTTTGGAGATACAGCAAAGGGTTTGGTTTCCAACCTTCCGAATCAGTTGTCAAAGCATGCATATTTGTCTAGTGTAGACACGGACACCAAAACCTTAGATTTTTGGCCGGTTCTTATATGCTTTATTGACATGGGAAATGTGTAAGCGAACTTTTGAGACACCCTGTATGTGCACCTACTGATGTTATTTCTTAATGTTTTTATCTTTTATTCTTGAAGTCAAAAGAGAGATGATGGAAGTATTCTAACTCAAGATTCTAATTGTAATGTAGGTAATTAAGTCAATCTTAAATCATAATGCAGTCACAATGCGTACCTAATTGAAATGTTGCTTAATTGAAGGACAGAGCTTCTCACTCGCACCTCACATTTATCAGGTCATGCAAAATCAGGCAAATATATGACTAGGAAGATACTACTCACCTCCCAAAGCCTCCTCCGGGCTTTTTGGGGGAGTGGAGCTCATTGTTGACAATTTTTGTAGCCTGGCACACTGACACGGGCAGCAAGAGCGGAGTGCTCCTCAAACTTTATAAGAACGTAGAAAAAAAAATGAATACAAATAAGAGCCCGTATTTCCAGGAAAATGTCCCCAGCAATCAAAGAGAACGTCGCCACTCTCTCCTATACCCCTAAAGTCCCGCAGTCCGCACAGCGCAACACCTTCCCCACGAGGACGAGCTCCGAGTGTGTGGCTTTGTTTTGTTTGTGCACTGCTGTGGCGCAGATATCAACAATCTGTGATGTCAGAGCAAGATTTTTTAAAACTTTAAATTTACTTTTCCTTTTTAAAGTTCGAAAATATGTATTCTTTATTTCACTCGACGTCACCACAACATTGTGTTTCAATTGTATTTCAGTCAATTTCAATTATCAAACAGAGCTTCGTTGGTTTAGGCACTTTACGAATGTTCTTGAAAAAGGGTACATTTCTAGCGCGTTTCTGCGCCATTACACAAAAATGTTTTTTGGTTGTGTTTGACGAGGTGTAGCGCGTTTGATAAAATTCCTTGATATATCAATATGTGGTGATTACTGCCGTGAATTTTTGCGTTCAGACAGAATTGTTTCCACAAGATATCAAATTTGATGGATTTAAGTTCATTTGTGCATAGATGGCTTTGCGGTAGTTAATTTGGATAGGGCAATTTGCATCACCTCAAATGTGGGTGTGATTTTGAATTAAAGGTAAGCAACTTTGATTATTAATTTTTAAACACCTTAGATTTAAAGTGTAGGTACTTACCTTATAGTAAGTAGTGGCAGCAAGGTGGACATTTGGTCTATGGCATAGTGTCTAGCTCATTGTCTTTTGCTTTTTCAATTCAGTAGGCGGAACTATGGTCAAGCGTACCCATTTTCGGGAACGCATTTTCGTTCCCATGTTTGGGAACGATAAACCCAAATATGGGAACGCCATGTAGGCATTATTTAAAACAAGAAAAAGCCGTTAAATGACGTCCAAAAAATATAAAACGATCGTGAACCGCCTGATATTTGTCTCAATATTGTTGGGAAAGAGTTTGCTATTGTAAGGCCCATCGTAGTTTCAAATCGTTCCCCTATTTCTAAAGCAGTCCATCATCCGGGCCGCGTGCCCAAATTTGGGAACGCTCTCATACACTGGCGCTGCAAGCGTTCCTTATTATGGGAACGGCGTACCCAAAATTGGGAACGATTTCACCGACGCCTTTCAGGGGCTCTTTTCATTAACAAGCATCACGTCCAACGCCGCAAATTATTGTTAACGCAACAATCATCAGATGACCTTTCCGGCAAGACCGTCGCATGTTTCGCCCAGTCTTCTGCGCTTTTATTCCCGTCGATCTCGCAGCGGGCACGCCCCCCTCTGCAGGATTACGTAATTCACAACGCTCAGCGATGTTCAACAAGGTCTTCCATATCTATATCCACCGTCCGTGCCGAGGGTGGAGACATGTCAAGCACCTGTCTGTTTATCACTGATAGTTGACGAGTACAAGGAAGTATCCAAAAATGGGAACGCTGAATATGTTACACCCTCAAAACACCTAGTCCCAATGAAAATCTAGTTTTTTCCTTTCTTAATGAGTGTAAGTGGCAAAAGGCCTGGTAGGATGGGCACGAGGAATGATCGAAATCAGCATAGAAATTATAAATAAGCCACACAGAGCGACCTATATAAGAGAAATTCCCCCAAAACGATCATGCTTAGAAACACGGACGACAAAAACCACGCTCATGAAGCTCCCTATAAAACAACGCTAAACAGCTAGCATCCAAATAAAATATGTCTTTCCGGGCTGATAAAATACAGCTGAATAATTTTTGACCACTTAAACTGAGTTTACAACAGTAGTTCGGTAAAATCACGCACGTTCTACGCGGTCGTCTGCCTCGACACCAAATGTCAACACTCAACAATATTACCTCGGGACTGTCCGCGTGTTCGCTTGCATATGTCAGCATCTGGTGTCGCTAGTATGAAACTTTATAACCAGGCGAAAATTATTATACTTGACCTCAAAATGTAAAAAACGCTTCATTTTCCTTAAAATTGCATGTTAAATGTAGTGTAACCCATGTTTTCACCATATCCGTCATTTCAAAAAATCATTAAAAATATTATTCGACGGTCAATTTCCTTGTTCAACGGTTAGATTAAAGAAAATTTTATAGAGATTTAGTAGATACTTAAATTAGCGTGCACTTTTTTTAGACGTGATGCACTAATGAGTTTTAGTGGGCGAACGGCCGAAAAATTACCTTCCGTTCTCATAAATGGGAACGCCTGTTCCCATATTTGGGAACTCCGTTCCCAAAAATGGGAACGTTCCTATATTTGGGTACTCATGACCATAGTTCCACCTACTGAATTTGCAGTGCACTTAAGAAGGAATCAATAGCAGTATTGGTAAAGCTGGCGTCACTGTCGGCGGTAGGTAGGTAGGTAGGTAGGTTAGGTTGTAGGCTGGTAGGTTTTAGGTGTGTAGGCTGGCAGGTTGTAGGTTAGTAGGTTAGGTGGTATTTATTTACTTTAGGACTGGCAGCCTTTACTTTCGTCTTTTAGTTCAGTCTTTTAGTTCTTTCGTCTATTACCTAGTTAGTTTTAGTTCAGTTACTTTTAGTTCAGGCTAGATTATGTTTTTTACTCATTTCATCTACCCATTTACTGGTTAGTGGTGATGGTGACGCCAGCTTTATCGATACCTAAATACCTACCTTTTATTGTTGGTGGCAGCTTTCATCCACCCTGAATGGGGCCACCAGTGTGTGCATGCTGATGCAGTGTTTTATCTTACTTTTGCTGATTGACGGTCAGTCACCTATGAATATGATCTAAAGCATTGACTTCCTATTTTGCAGTGAATGAGGAAAAACTATACAACCATTGATGCTTGCTGCTTTATTTGGCCCAGATTGCAACAGTCATTTATGCAATGCAATTCTGAGTATCAATAGGTACCAACTCTACTCTTTCCCTGGAATTATGCATGGTTATTTGTAGTTTCCATGATATTATTGCTTTAGCTTGATTTTACATCAGAACAGAAAAGGTTCAGACTTATCATTTAACTGTAGATGAAAATTAAGAACTAGGTTTGTCTTGTTTTCTTTTTCATTAAAGTAGGTAGGTACATATTTTGTGCTCGTTTCAGATAAGTGATTGTTGATATTGCCACATCTTCCTTTGATCCTATAGGTACTTTATTATGTTTAAGAGAGGATAAGAAATGAATTTCCTACTTTTCTTAGCTTACAGTAGCAGAATAGCATAAGGAGATATTCAATAAGGCTTTATATTTTGAGCATGCTGCTCATCAATAATTTTTATCATCAATTCCAGCAATGTGCAGTCGGTCTCAGGGTAGTGACTGAGTTGATAAAGCAACTAAATATTTTTATATCTGCCTTGTCTAATGAGATAGGTGTCTATGTAGCAAATAAGGTTGTGATGAAAGCTAATCTAATGTGCTCTATGATTTGGACACCCTACAATGTAGGCACCAATGTTTGGCATCAGTACTATCTGTCAAAGCGAAGTATTTTGTTGCTTTGAAATTTTTGTATAGGTGATGCAGGGGTCTACTCATTTTGTATTTTAGATCACAATGAAGCTTTAGTAGACTCTTTAGTGCCCTGAGTAGAACAATACTTATAAGGCTGTAATTTCATTTTATATGATCTGCTTGGTACTGAAAACGAATTGGTAGGCATTGCACATTGTTTTGTCCTTGGTCATCTCCTCCTGAGAACAAAGTAGCAAGTGGTAGCTGGTGGGATGCAAGAGGAAACTCTGTGTGAGACTTAATGTTTGTTTGTGTCTTTAAAGTTAATGATTTAATGTTTATTTTCCTTTGCTGGTGGGATGCAAGAGGAAATTCTTTGTGAGACTTAAATGTTTATTTGTGTCTTTAAAGTTAATGATTTAATGTTTATTTTCCTTTTCCCAGTTACTCACACCCTGCTCACTTGTAGATGATATTCGATCATGGCTTTGTTTTGTTGACTGTTGATCCCTATGCAGTTGATCTTAACATTTCCTTTCTAGTGAGTGTAATCATTGGGAATAGCATTAGTGCCATGATGCTTATGTGCTTTAACATCATTAATTTTATAGGTAGGTAGATACTACATATCACATTAATTTTAATAAAACCTATATTTTCAATATTTCAAAGCAGATACTAAACCATGTATTTAACAATGTTATGACTCACTTTTAGTCATTGAACTTCCTAGATTTTCAACACTACCTCTGATGTTGTGCTGGTCACTGAGTCGTATCTTTACGCCTGTTCTCAGGATGGACTCGTCCGGTCAGCCTCGCGTCATCTCGCGTGACGAGGCTCTGCGGATCTTGCGAGAGCAGCAGCGGAAGCCGGCGGCGCCGGCGCCGGCGCCGGCCCCGGTGGCCACGCCGGCGGCGGCCGCCAGCCTGCCGTCGTGGCTGCGCGCGGCCGTCAGTGCCACTCCGCCGCCACCGGCCGCGCCCGCCGTCCGGCTGCCTCCAGGCATCAGCGCCGTGCCACACCCGGCGCCGAGACAGCGCCAGCCGCCCCTGCAGACCGCTCAGCAGCAGCGGCTCTTGCAACAGCAGCATCAGCAGCGGCTGCTCCAGCAGCAGCAGCAACAGCGGCTCCAGCAGCAGCGACTGCAGCAGCAACATCAGCAGCGCATGCAACAGCAGCAACAACAACATCTGCAGAATCAGCAGCGGTTGATTCAGCAGATCAAGCAGAAAGAGCAGCAGCGACTCCAGCAAAGACAGCAGCCGCGCCAGCAGCAGCAGCAGTACCAGTATCCCGACCGCGCCTACGCCAGGGGACGGTCCGTCGATGGTGGATACCATGGCGGTCAGGCTGCTGCGAACGCCCCCTCTGAGCAGCCGGCGCAGCTCACCCTACAGCAGGCGATGGCGCTGTGCCGGAAGCAGGCGGCCGCCGCCCCCGCCCCCGCCCCCGCCGCCGCCTCGGAAGCGGTCGGCGTCGGCTGGATGGGTGGCTCGACGGAGGACGACGAGCCGCTGGACGCGGAGCCCGTACTGGAGGCAGTCAGCTCGCCGGTGCCCGTCGAGGAGCCCGTTCACGAACAGTACTCGGACGAGGAGCTAGGGGAGGAGGAGGAGCATTATTCTGACGAGGAAGAAGGCAGCTACCAGGAGCATGAAGAGACGGAGTCTGAAACGAACCGGCAGAGGTGCGATACTGAACCAGCGCCGGCGCAGAAACCGTCACCGGCGCCGGCGGAGACTCCAGCTCTGCCGGCCGGGCTGAAACTGCCGCCTGGTGTGAATCTGACACGGAGCGGCCCCCCGCCGGCCGCGACACCGCCAGCACCAGTCGCTGCACCAGCACCAAAGGCACCAGCGGCGCCGGCTGCACCCGTCCAGACTGCGGCGCCCCCACCGACGGCCCCGCAGCCGCCGGAACAGCAACAGAACGGTGGTGGCGTGGACCAGCACTACGACGAACTCGGGGAGGAAGAAGAGGACTACGAGATAGGTGACGAGGGGGATCAGCTGGGCAGCGAGGAACAGGACGAGGCCGACGACTGGCACTACCCTGAGGATGAGGAGGAGCAGACGGACCCGTCGCCGGAGCCGCAGCAGCAGCCGCGCTCGGTCCCCCCTCCGGCGCCGGCGCCTGTCCCGGCATCGTCCGACGAGCCGCGCAGTCTCACACTGCAGGAGGCGATGGCGCTCTGCCGCCGACAGGCAGCGGGTGCGGAGCCTGCCGAGCCGCCACCCCCTCCTCCGGCGCCGCCCCCGCCCCCGCCGCCGCCCCCGCCACCTCCTCAGCCGGCGCCGGTGCGCCGACCCGGGCCGGCGTCTGCCCGACCGATGCCGGCCTCCGTGCGTCAGGCGCGCCAAGCTGCGGCGGCGGCAGCAGCGGCCGCAGCAGCTGCAGCTGCACAGACCGCGTCTCCAGCCGCCGTCGTGTCCGCCCCGCAGAGTCCCGTGACTCCTGCACCGGAGGTGCGGACGCAGGCGGCGACTGAGCCCTCGTCTCCGGCAGACAAACAGGTGTCCGCACCAGAGAGCCGTCTGCCGCCGCCGCCGGAACCCGCGCCGGCCCCTACCGAGGCGCCGCCGGCCGCCGTCGACAAGGGACGGGCGAGAGAGGCGGAGGCGCGGGAACAGGAGAGGATAGATGAGGAGGAGGAGGACGCTTTGCTGCGGGAGGACGAGGAGGACGCGCTGTTGCGGGACGATGAGGACGAGTGGGAGCCGTCGGAAGGTGACCTCGATGACGAGGATCTGGACGAGTATGGCGCTGGGGCGTGGCGGGGCGGAGAGGGTGCCGGAGCCTCACCCCAGCCGGCCCAGCCGCCTGTGCCGCAGGTGACACTGCCGCGTGGCATCCGTGCGGTGCCGGTGCCGCCTGAGCCTAGCGCAGCGCTGGCGCGACTGCCGCCCGGAATCCGAGCCGTGGCGGTGCCGGACGAGCCCCGGTCGGCGGCGCCGGCGCCAGCCCCGATACCGCCGGCGCCGCAGAGACAGCCGCACCAGCAGAGACAACCACAGCTGCAGGAGAGACAGTTGCCGCAGCAGAGACAGCCACAGCAGGAGAGACAGATCCCGCAGCAGAGACCACCTCCGCAGCAACAGCAGCAGAGACAGCAGCCTCACCACCAGCAGCAGCAGCAGCAGCAGCAGCAGCAGCAGCAGCAGAGACAGCAGCCTCAGCAGCTGCAGAGGCCACCTCTTGAACAGCAGAGACCGCCTGCGCCGCCGCCGCAGCGTCTGACGCCGCGCGATCTGGGCATCCGACTGCCGCCGGGTATCGCCGCTGTGCCCGTGGGCCAGTCGGACCCAGAGCCGCCGCCCGCCGCGGACACGACTCCTAAGAGCGCCGCCCCGCCGGCAGCGGAGCCGGAGCCCCGTCACCTGACTCTGCAGGAGGCCATGGCCATGTACCGCCGGCAGTCGCAGGCGGCCGCGGAGCCGGAGCCGGAGCCGCCAGCTCCCGCGGAGCGGAGCGACGAGTCCCGAGAGGACTCTGTGCTCGAGGACGACTCGCTGCTGGACGATTCGCATCTGGCCGAGGGTGAGGCTCGGTTCAATGAGGACGAGTACGACGATGACCTTGATCAGGAGGACTTTGATGAGGACGAAGAGCTGATGAAGAACGGTGGGTGGCATGACGACGAAGCCTCGCCTCAGTACCAGGACGAGGCGCAGCCGGAGGAGGTTGGTGCAATCCCCGAACAGGATCATGCAGATGAGCCTGAAGAACAAATGTTGATGGCTGGGCCCGACGGGGAGCCAGAAGGTGACGATGAATCGCATCTACAAGACGAGTCACATGTAGAAGGCGAAGGCGAACACCCAGAAGAGGGCACTTCACATCTACAGGAGGACGCTTCACATCTAGAGGAGGACACTTCACATCTAGATGAGGGCGCTTCACATCTAGAGGAGGACACTTCACATCAAGATGAGGGCGCTTCGCATTTAGAGGAGGACGCTTCAAATCTAGAGGAGGGCGCTTCACATGTAGAGGAGGATGCTGCACGTCTAGAGCAGGAAAAGGCGCGTCTCGTTGGGGAGGAAGAAGCGATGGAGGAAGGGGAGTCGTGGCCGGCTGAAGATGGGGCGCGATACGACGAAGGCGAGTCGCGTGCCGAAGCAGATGGGCAGCAGCTTGATGACGAGCAAGCACTAATGGAGGAAGGGTATGAAGCAGAGAAAATAGATGAAGGTGATGAATATTCAGGTCAATATGGGGATGAAGCACTGCCGGAAGAACCCACTCATGACAACATGGCCGGTTCACTGCCTGAGCAGACCGGGCCGGCGGACGCTGGAAACGCGACTGCCGCTAGCTTTGACGCAGAAACTGGCGAACATTTGCAGCAACCTCCAGAGCCGACCGCTGCGGCGCCGGTCGACGGTGAGGCGGCCACCGCCCCTGCTGGTGATCGGGATACCGTTCCGAGTCCTCCCCAGCCGGCGGAGGAGGCTGCACAGTTCCAACCACCCGATGGCAGTAGCGAGGCCCAGTCTCCAGCTGCAGGTTCAACTCACGCCGATGACAAGCCTGAGCAGCCCAGCAACGAGCAGGAAACCCCAGAAGTGCCGAGCGGCGCTGGTGATAGCCGTGATCTCGGGGACCTCCCGGTCTCGGAGGAGCCGCCCTCCGCACCGCCGTCGGTGCCGCCTCCGGGGCCGGACGCGCCGGCCGACTCCGGCCAGCAGCAGCTGGCGGACGACTCGATCTCGGATCTGATCAGCGGCGCCGTGCTCGGTCCGGAGCTGATGCAGGCTGAGGTGGACGGCACCGCCGAGGACCTGTCCGAGGTCAAGGACATGCTGAGCATGCTGGAGGAGAAGCCGGACCTGCTGGACGCCGGCGGCGGCGGGGACGCCGAGCCGGACGAGGGCGCCGAGGACGAGGAGCCGGCCTCGTCAGAGGCGGACGGCAGCGGCTCCGAGTCCGACCGGCGCGACGGCGGCGACGGCAGCGAGGCCGGCAGCGCGGAGTCGGACGCCGCCGGCGACGGCGCGCGAGAGAGCCCCAAGCCCAAGCGGCGCAAGAAGAAGAAGGGTCGCAAACGGAAGAAGAAGCGTGGCGACGGTGACTCTAAAGACGACGACGAGAACGGGCCGCTGAACAAGCGGCGCAACATCCGCCAGATCATGACGGAAGAGAAGCTGGACGCGGAAACGCTGCGCGCACAGGAGGAGGAGAAGGAGCGCCAGCTGCGTCTCGCCGAACAGAAAAAGTGGTACGAGCAGTTCAAGCGCGAGCAGGAGCGTGTTGAGCGAGAGAAGGAGCAGGAGCGGCTGGAGCGCGAGGCGGCCGAGGCGGAGCGCAAGGCCAAGGAGGCAGCCGACGTGATCGTGCTCTCCAGCGACGAGGAGAAGGAGGAAAAGGAGGAAAAGCCCGAGGTTAAACAGGAGGTCAAGAAAGGTGAGCTCTTCAACGCATCATAGGCTTATTTTGCAACAGTCGTACTTGCTTCCGTTGTATTGAGTATCGTGATTTTATATGACACAAGTTAACAGATTCGAGTGCTCCCTATTTCGCCATTGGTCTCATATTATTTCCATTTAACCGAAAATTGTGTTGCTTTCTCTTTATAGCTGGTGTTCAACAAGAAGTTTGATTCCTTGCCAGCTTTGTGACCTGCTTGCCTGATAGCCTGCCGCAGCTGACCATAATCCGTTTCCCCTGTGGCAGAGCCGGCGGCCGAGACGAGTGACGACGACATCCAGCTGCTGAGCTCGGGCGAGGAGGAGAAGGAGGACGGCCACGCCGAGGACACCAACAACTCGGGCTCGCACACGGACGACACGTGCAACGTGCCCGACTCGCTGGGCCGTGTGCTGGTCAACGTGGGCCACCCGCCGGCCGAGATGGACATCTTCATTGCGCCGCAGATCGCCAGGAACATCAAACCGCACCAGGTGGGCGACGCGGCGGGCGGGAATGGCCGCCACCGAAGTGGTGGGAGGATGCTCATTACTCGTGTACCTATGTTTTTTTATCGTTGTTGACTGACTTCGGCTACTGATAGTCAGGCGTTGACACGGCAGTGATGTAAATTATTGTCTCTGTGTTGCAGATTGGCGGCGTCCGGTTCCTGTACGACAATCTGATCGAGTCGCAGGAGCGCTGCAAGACCACGCCCGGCTTCGGCTGTATCCTGGCGCACTCGATGGGCCTGGGGAAGACGATGCAGACAGTGACGTTTACGGACATCTTCTTGCGGCACACCGGCCACCGCACGGTGCTCATCATCGTACCCATCAACACCATCCAGAACTGGCTGAACGAGTTCAACTTCTGGCTGCCGGACGCCAACACGTACACGCCGCTGGCGCAGGGCGGCGAGGTTCGGCCCAGACACTTCGCGGTCAGCATGCTCAACGACTCGCACCGCACGCTGCAGGCGCGCGCCAAGGTGATCGCCGACTGGTACCGCGACGGCGGCGTGCTCCTCATCGGCTACGAGCTCTACCGGCTGCTCAACATCAGCTCGTCGCGCGCGGCGCGCAAGAAGAAGCGCAAGGACGGCTCAGACGACCTGGAGGCCGAGGCCCGGGAGAAGCAGCTGCTGGAGGGCATCAAGACGGCCATCACCCGGCCCGGACCCGACCTGGTCATCTGCGACGAGGGCCACCGCATCAAGAACGCCGGCGCCAGCATCTCGCAAGCGCTGAAGAGTATCCGGACGCGGCGGCGGCTGGCGCTCACCGGCTACCCGCTGCAGAACTGCCTGGTCGAGTACTGGTGCATGGTCGACTTTGTGCGGCCCAACTTCCTCGGCACAAAAGCCGAGTTCAACAACATGTTCGAGCGGCCCATCTCGAACGGCCAGTGCGTGGACTCGACGCCGTCGGACGTGCGTCTGATGCGGTTCCGCTCGCACGTGCTGCACTCGCTGCTGGAGGGCCTGGTGCAGCGGCGCAGCCACGCCATCCTGCAGGCCACGCTGCCCAAGAAGGAGGAGTACGTGTGTCTGCTGCGGATGACCCAGCTGCAGCGGGCGCTCTACCAGCGCTACATGCTCGACCTGACCTCGCGCAGCGGACAATCACCCAACCCCCTGCGGGCCTTCGTCGTCAGCTGCAAGGTAACGGCCGCGCGCGCCTAGCGCTTTTTTTAGTCGTATTTACCCTTTAGATAATGCTATCTGTTCTTCAGAGGGGCTGATGTTTGATCTATGTTATTGTGTGGGCTAAATGGACATGTAATTCTACTCTCGCATCGGTTATCTATGTTTGCAGTAAATGAAGGGTAACCAATGTTGGCCCCCATCGAAGAGACTTTCGTGTATTTTATTCTATTGCCCTTATCTGCGTGACAGATCTGGAACCACCCGGACATCCTGTATAACCTGCTGCGGAAGAAAATGGCGGACGAGGACCTGGACCTGGACGAGACCAACGACAGCGCCAGCAATGGCACGGCCAGCCGTCCGCGCCGGCCGCCGCAGGCGCCCGGCGGTCCCGCTGCTGCTGGTGGGCCGGGCGGACCAGGCGGGCCAGCTGGCGGCGGGCCGGGCGGAGCCCCTGGCGGGTATACCGCCGGGCCGTCCGGCGGACCTCCCGCTGGTGGTTTTCCTGGCGGACCGGGTGGGTTTGGTGGACCTACCGGTGGACCAAGTGGATTTGGTGGACATCCTGGTGCACCGGGCGGACATCCTGGTGGATTTGGTGGACCTGGAGGTTTCCCCGGTGGACCAGCTGGACCTGGAGGATATCCAGGTGGACCTTCTGGACCTGGTGGATATAACACTGCATCTGGCGGGTCTGGTGGTCCTAGCGGGTATAACGCTGGACCGGGCGCGCCGGGCGGACCCTCCAGTGGGTCTAGTGGTCCCTCTGGGTACAATACCGGACCTGGCGGACCCTCCGGCGGACCGGGTCCTAGTGGATACAACGCTGGACCGGGTGGACCGGCCGCTCCTGGTGGAGCTGGCGGACCCCCCAGTGGACCCGGTGGGCCTCCCGGAGCGGCTGGAGCGGCGGGAAACATGCAGACGCCGCCCGACGCCAGTCCGCTGGAGAAACCCAAAGACGACGGATTCATCAACTACGACTGGGTGAGTTCTTGGGCGGAGATGGGGCGATGACGCAGTGTACCAAAATGCGTTGATTTGGGTGGGAAACGACATTTAAATGAAAACCATTTTGCACTCTTATCTCCGATTTTTAAGAGCAATTTTCCACTCCCAATTTGAATGAGAAAAAGTATTTGCATGGCTTATCGTTTTACACCCTACATTTCACCAAACTTGTATGTAAATGTATGCCATTGACCCCTTTCTCACTCTTTTGTGTTCTAATCGACTGGCAATTTTTCCACTCTTCCACCCAAGCCAAGGTACAATTTTGGGACACTGTGACGGGTAACCGAGGTGTGGATGGGATGCGCGAAGATGCCACGTAGAGTAGGAAACAGGAACGGATACTGAATGGTTCGTGATAAGCTGATAGAAGCAACGGAAGTGTTTGGCATATGGTCCAGAATCGTTTGTCCATAGTCGCAATGACATGACGTCTGATACCAATTTGAAATGGCATGCTGTTTCGTTATGTTCACGGATTACGATACACAATTCCTTTATTTGCATACTTTATGTTTATTCAGTTGAGTTTGCAAAATATAAGAGGAAAATATTCCGTTGCTCGTCCTTGTTTGTGTTTCGGGGTACCGGACTTATCGCCTGCAGCGTTGTGTGCGCTATCAGACGGTCTCGCCCCTGAGCGGTCAGGTGACGCCCGCGCCGCTTCCGTCGGTGACTCAGCCATGTGATAGGAGTGCGGTGTGTTTCCTGCGGCACTAACCCCGTCCCCGGCTATCGACAGGCCCAGGACATGATGCAGAACTACATCCCCGGACAGCTGGAGAACTCCACCAAGATGATGGTGTTCAAGGTGCTGCTCGAGGAGACGGTCAAGCTGGGCGACAAGATGCTGCTCTTCAGCCAGTCGCTGTTTACGCTCAACATCATCGAGGAGTTTCTGCAGCAGACGGTGATCCCGGGCCGCAGCGAGAAGTGGATGCTCAACCAGTCCTACTACCGACTGGACGGCTCCACCACCGGACTCGAGCGCGAGAAACTCATCAGCGAGTTCAACGCCAGCCCGGCCGTGCCGCTGTTCCTGGTCTCGACGCGCGCCGGCAGCTTAGGCGTCAACCTGGTGGGCGCCAACCGCGTGCTGGTGTTCGACGCCTCGTGGAACCCGTGCCACGATACGCAGGCCGTGTGCCGCGTCTACCGGTTCGGCCAGCAGAAGCGCTGCTACATCTACCGGCTGGTGACCGACAACTGCCTGGAGCGCAGGATCTACGACCGCCAGCTCAAGAAACAGTCCATGTCGAACCGCATCGTGGACGAGACCAACCCGGACAACATGGTGACGACGCAGAGCCTGAACCGGCTGCTGGACCCGACCGAGGACGACCCGCCGCCGGCCACCGTGGCGCCCGACCCGGACAAGTTCTCCGACCCCGTGCTGCTCACCGTGCTCGACAAGCTGGGACACCTCTTCTCGCAGGTCAGTCGCCGCCGGGTGGACACAGCACAGTGTCAGCGGTGGCGGGCGGGCAGGATGTTTATTGCGCGTTGAATCGAGCGCCAGGTGTTTTCTTTCGTATTACTCGACTGAAACATGGTATCGTGTTCTAGTTCGTTTTATATTTACGTTGGTGGCAGTGGCGATGCCCAGTCATTCAGCTATGACCCGTAGTAGATCTGAAACTCGTCTGGACCCGGACTTTACCCACCGCTCCCTCACCCAGGAACCGTTCGAGCACGACGCCCAGCTGGTGGACCGACAGGACAAGCGGCTGACTCAGGCCGAGAAGAGGCTGGCCAAGCGCAGCTACGAGCTCGAGAAGAAGGCTGCCAACACTGGCGGCCGGCCCAACTACCAGGGCTTCTACCAGCGCGGCCAGCCGGGCGCCTACAGGTCGGTGCAGCAATGTTGGAAATGAGACCCTTTGCTGGTCCAAGTCGAGTTCCAAAGATTTTGTTCTCCTTTACAAAATTATGCTCCAGTACTTGAAATCTTCCAAATTTTCCACCATATGTGATGAAAAACTGCTATTATTACACACAAAATATACAGTAATAGGCTAGCATTGAGAATAACATATTTTATAAGCTATCACGTTTAGTAGACCACAAATATGGTTTTCCTGTTGGTTGCTCTAAAAGATTCCCGGTTCTCCGGACAGATTTTATTCTCCGGGGCCAGGACCGAAAACAATTATAAAATTGTTGCCGGGCTGACGTCGGGTCGGGCAGGCGAAGGGGTGGGCTGTGGATTTGGGACTGGTGGGATCGCATTTCACGCATAATATGTCCCTTGATAGTCAGTTATCTAAGTACATGAGCCGCCCAGTTACGTTTACACTTTGATGTATTTACGCTGTTCATCCTCGCCCAATATCAGACTGGCGGTATAACTCGATCACCTAGCCCATTGGCTGCCTCTCTGACCCGCCCCGTGCCACCTCCTTCAGGGGCCTGTACAACAAGCCGGTGGCCAACGTGCGTCCGATGATGGTGGGCGGCCGGATGGTGCAGCAGCGCGGCGGTCTGAACCCGTTCGGCGGCGCGTCCCGGCTGTCCACCGAGCAGCTGAGCCGCCAGGGCGTCTCCATGTCGCACATCACCGTGCCCAAAGGTCAGTCTGTCCGCTGTCACCCCGGTACCCTCCGCCGGCGCCGTCCGCCCCCCCCCCCCCTCCCCCCCCCCCCCGGCGTACCGACTGCTGCCGAGTGGGCGGGTGTTTGCAGCTGTCTATGAGACTATTTGTGCTGTCAATGCTTGTATCTCCCGACATACCGTTAGTATCGTACTTCCTCGTGCTGAATCACGATATCGGCCAAGTAAATCCTCTGCTCAGTTAGTTCCCGATTATCCGCTGTCACCTATCGGTCCTCTATATTTGTCGCTCAGTGGCACCTGAAAGTCGGTAATTATGCAGTTACCGCCAGTGTAGCCAACTGCAGCTGATTTTATTGCTGCTGAACTTTCCGCAACCATATGCCAGCCGATGGAGCCGGTCTTACGGTAAATTCCACCAGCCCGTCATATGTCAATATTTGACTTGAGCATTGACAGTATAGCGGCTGGGAATCCTGGGGACATCGAGCGGTGCAGCTGCGTCAGCGGCTCCATGTTTCACAGTTTATCAGCTACTAGCCGCTCTCCTTTGTACTCCGTACGCGACGTGATATATTGCAGCGTTCTCTATGACATTACGACGTGAAATGCCCGGCTGTCTCTGTGTCCTATTGACCATGCATCATACCTAACTGCTCGGCAATATGCTATATAGACACTGCACATTGACCCAACCGCCATCGCTGTGATGTTTTGTCAATGTCAGGCTGCTGTGTGCTTACTCCGTTGGCCCAGATTCGCCGTTAGATGTACTTTTCACTGTCATCCCACTTACTTTCATCAGGCTGTCTTCCGTTCGGCGGACACCCAGACCTGTAACATACTGTGCAGCACCAACTATATGACACGCGCCCCACCAATCCCGTGTGAGTCTGCAGACGTAACCGCTCCCTCCCCACACCCTGTGTGTCGGCAGACGTGACGATTCCAACCGGGTCCGGGGACGGCGAGCCGATCCAGCTGCGCGCCGGCCAGACGGTGCTCGTCATCCGCACTGCCAAGGGCGTCTACCTGCGCCTGCAGGACGGACGCATCATCGCCATCCGCATGCCCGCCGGATCCGGTGAGAGGGGAGAGCGGGGCAGAGCGACTTGGGGACGCAGTCGGTTGTAGGGACCGGCGACAGCTGGTCTGAACTGTACAGAGAGGTATTGGACAGGATGTTTGCTCAAACTTTGTAATTTGTAATTAGCTGACTGTGTGGTGCTAAGCGGCTGAAGTGGTTTACATTGCATTGTTTGGTATTCAGCCTGCAAATGTTTATGCCCGTTGAATTACAAGTTTTCCTGGAGCAGTCGGGAAATCGTGACCCCTGTGACGACACAGACTCGTTCCATGCCTGGTGCCGACCTATGACTGTGGTCCCTCGTCCCCAGGCGGCCGCAGTGTGCCGGACCTGCTGGGCAGCTCCAGCCGGTACCAGCCGCGGCCCCAGCCGGCCTCCGCCGCCGGCCCGTCCGGTATTCGCCTGCCGCGCGGCATCACCGTCGAGCGGGTCCCGGCCGGCGGCAGCGGCGGCGGCAAGCAGGGCGGCCAGTCGTGGGCGCGCCGCGCCGCGCCCGCGCGCGCCACCGTCAGCCGCTCGGCGCCGGCCCGCTCCGACTCGGACAGCGGGGACGGCGGCCTGAACCTGTCGGCGCTGCTCGGCCGCCAGCCGGCGCCAAAGGACGACAAGGGGAAGGCAGAGCAGCCGGCCACCTCCGCCGCGCCGGCCACCGGTGGCGGCTCTCCTGGGGGCGGAGACGAGAAACAGACCGGAGGGAAGGCGCAGGACGAGCGGTCGGCGTCCCCGGGCGGGACGGCCGAGGACGGCAACTCTGCGCTCCACTACCTGGACCGGGCGCTGGCCGAGTCTGCCGACAACTCCAGGGCGGACAGCGGCTCAGCGGCGGACGAGTCCGGCCTTGGCGGGTCACCGGCCGCCGGTCAGCAGCAGCAGCAGCAGCAGCAGCAGGACGACCCCAGTGACCCGCTGTCTCGGCTGAAGAGCCTGGCGGTAGCGGCCAGCGGCGACGGCCGCCAGGAGCCGGGTATGCCGCCCTCGTCCATGGCAGACGATAAGATGATGGCAGACCAGCAGCGGCAGCAGCTGCAGGGCCAGCATCAGCAGATGCAGCAGCAGCAGCAGCAGCAGCAGCACCTGCCGGCTCCACACCAGCAGCAGCAGCACCATCCGCAGCAGCAGATGCAGCACCGAGGGATGTCTCACCAGCAGTCGCCCTACCATCCGGACCTGGCCCAGAAGCAGCAGCAGCACCAGCAGTCTCTGGCGTACCAGGGCGCCGGTCAGCAGCGTGGCGACCAGGCCGGTGACGAGTTCATGGATACACACATATTCGACCTGAGCCACAAGCCGGGCATGGAACAGCAGTCGGCGCAGGACCTCAGTGGCGGCGGCGGCCAGGGTCTAGACCTGTCGCACCTCCCCCAGCAGCAGCAGTCGGGTGGCCTGCACGGTCAGCTGGGGGGCCAGTCCGGCCGGATGGACCACCAGGCCAGGATGGAGCTGCAGCTGGCCGGTCAGCCGGCCAGGGTCAGCCACCCGATGGACGGCCAGGCGGGCCACGGCCGGCTCGGCGGCGGCTCGGCTGGCTCCATGTCACAGCTGGACCAGCGACTAGGGCTGACGCACGGCCACTCGATGCTGTCCCAGCCGCACGACCTGTCGATGCACGGCCAGCAGCCGGCGCTGGCGGCGCCCGAGCCGCCGCCGCCGCCGCGGTACGGCCTGCCGGCGGCGTCCCAGTACGGCGGCTCCCACCAGGCGCGCACGCCCGGCATGGAGCAGTACGGCGCCGGCGGCGCGGACGGCTCCCAGCTGCAGACGCACCGGCACAAGGCGGCGCCGAGCCGCCCCAAGTCCGGCTACCCGCCGCACCAGTCACCGGCGCTGCACCAGCCCCACCTGCAGCTGGCGCCCGAGCCGAGCCACGCGCCGCCCCAACCGCCTCCGCAGCATCTCGGCGGCGGCATCGACGACCTGATCGCCGGCTTCGACCTGAGCCGGCCGACGTACAGCAGCGCGCCGGCGCCGACGGCCGTCAGCCTGGGCGGTGTCTCCACGGCGCCGCTGCCCTCTTTCTCGACGGTGTCGCAGCTGCCGCTGCCCTCGTTCTCCAGCGTGGCGTCGTCGGGTGGCGGCGGCGGCGGCGGCGGCCAGCCGGCGCCGCTGCGCGAGCCGCTGCCGCAGCCGCAGCCGATGGACACGGCGGCCCCGTCGGCGGCGCCGCCGGTGACGGCCGCCTCTGGCAGCGGCAGCTCGCGGCTGGCCGAGGAGCCGTTCCCCTGGGAGCTGGGTGGCCAGTACCCGGCCGCCTACAGCCGCGAACTCGGCTACGCCGGCTACCCGCCCTACAGCATGGCCTACAGCCAGCCGCCGGGCGCGTACGGCGCGCCGGCGCCCTACCCGGCCTACGGCCTGTACGGCGCCGCGTCGGCGGCCAACTACGGGGCGTACCGGTACCCGGCCGGCTACCAGCCGTTCGGCGGCCCGTTCGGCGTGCCGGGCCTGCCGCAGCCGTACGGCTCAGCCGAGCCGAGCGTCTCGGCGGCCGACTTCTCGCTGGGCGGCGCAATGGCTCCCGGCGAGCCCACCTACCGGCGGCCGCAGTAGCCGCCGCTAGCCGCGGCACGGACTGACAGGGTCAGCGGAGCGACATGCGCGCCCGGCCGCCCGCCGGGCTGTACAGGCCGTGTGCAGGAGCTCCAACAAAGCGCTATTGGTGGACCTTCTACGTGTATATTTAAAGTGTTGCCAAAGGCATTCTGTCCCTCTTCTATAGGGGTCCGTTATCTCTAGTCGTACAAACCGTAGGACTGCTTTGAACGTTTTATTCAGGACAATTGTTGCAAGGATATGTCTTTTATGCTTTGCTTCGTTAATCGAGCGGTTGTACCTTTCTGAGTGGATGGACCAGCTGATAGTCGCTTCACTGTGTATTTGTGTGATACGAGGCGCGTCTTTGTAACCCCATGGCGAGAGTATCGCCGCACCATTGATTGATCAGCTGCCCGATTACCATACATTGTTTGGTAGTGTCGCCTACATCACTGTTCAGACTAAGGGCGGCGCACCCGTTTGTGTTTCATCGAGAAGGGACGTAGTGAGGCCGTGTCGACTGTAAATGTGCGCCCGTGCGAGTTGGTCCGGCGGCCTCTGTGAGGCGCGTCGGCCGGCGCGCGGCCGCTGCTGTCGTTCTATCTGCTGCCAGCCTCTCGGCCTGCCGTCGGCCGCCGCCGCTGGTTTCGGCGGTCGCCAGCGGCTTCACTTCGTGTAATAATAATATACGGTATTGCCTGGCAGGCACCCTGTGTACTCGTGTCTGCTTTGAGAGGGAAGGGGACAGCGGATCGCAAACCATCGTGGGATAAATTCGCGGCGCGACGGGTTGTTGATTGGACCGGTTGCGGATGTAACACTGGGGATAAGTGATAGAATTTACGTACAGATAAAACAAGACTCGTGTATTATCTGCTGGGTATTTGTACAGCTGGCTCACAGTTCGGTTCACAGTTCGGCTGGTAATGTTCGCACCACTGACTGTTCGCTCACAGGCAGGCGGTTCTCACCCACGAGACCTCCAGAACCCGCTGCACGGGCGCGTCCAGGCCGGAGATCCGCAGCTCACCCGTCTCCAGTCCATCCAGAAAGTCGTACGCGAACGGGTAAAAGCCGAGCTGCTGCAGCCGGAGCAGACCTCTGTACAGCCGCCTCAGGGCGTCCAGGTCGTGCCCGCTGGCACCGGCGCCGGCCCGGGTCACCGGCCGCACGTCCAGCCGGACGCCCAGCTGGCGCACGCTGTCGGCCAGCGCCCGCGGCGGCTCCTCCAGGAACCGGGAGAAGCCGTCGGCGTCCAGTGTGAGCGACAGGTAGCTGATGGGCCGGCGCCGGTGGCCGAGCCGGCGCACCCAGTCGTCGAGCCGGCCGGCGGCGCCCTCCTCCCGGTGGTGGCGCACCCCCACCTGGCGGCCCAGCAGCGGCTCGGCGGTCGGCGCCGACTCGGGCCCGAACGAGTGCGTCTCGCAGCCGTACGCGTCGGCGGCGACGTCGAACGAGGCGTCCTCGGGCGGCCGGACGGCGTACACCAGACACCGCTCGTCGACCAGAGAGAACTCCGGGTCGAAACAGAGGTGCCGGCCGCCCCACAGCATGGCGTTCCGGCCGCTCGGCGCACGGATCTGAGAAAGGTCACAGCGTTAGGGTCAGGACCTGGGACTGCAGGGTTGGCAGACGGGCTTACATACTCTGCATGTCATAACCGTTCTCTGTCCCGGTCGTTTGTGTCGGTGTGATCCTGACATTTGTCTCGACTCCCGGTTCATTTTGCCGAGGCCAGTGTGCCCTGTCCCGGTCTTCCCGGCCCATCCCGGCAGCCCTCTCGGCACAGCTCCTCAGTCCTCACCACGTGAGCTCCGATGGCCAGGTCCCTCTGGCATGCGGACGGCGAGGGCTGCGCTAGGTAGGTGAACAGCTCCTGCACCAGGGCCTCGTCGCCGGCGGGCTCCGCAGGCAGCGGCAGTACCTCCATGCGGGCATCGTGCCGCTCACAGGAGAGGGGCCTGTAGGACGGGGCACGCATGTCACTGACTAGTGTCCGCTCCCTGCAAGGCATGCCGTCGTAAGTGGGCACGGGCTCACACCGAAGCCGGGAATTATCCAGGTAAATTCCGCGTCTACCTTTACATGGGTGAGGTCGTAGCGTTTCTGATAAATGCCATCGTTTTTAGGCCCTGAGTAAAGGCACCATTTAATTCTTAAAAGTAAATACTAAGCAGACACATGAGAATCTATCGGTCCATCGAAGCTAGCTAGTTATGAGTATATGTGAATTGCATTGGTATAAAATTTGTTATTAGCGCTTTAATATTTTCATCGACTTATATTATAAATGCATGTCACCAGACGGCGCACTGGGGCACTGCACCGGCGGACAGTGCAGAGGTGCAGCGCTCGGGACGATCGGTCACCACTCACAGCGGCGAGTCGTCGGCGCCGGGCAGCACCAGTAGCACCAGCACCACGCCTGCGGCCAGCAGCAGCACCAGCAGACCGACGGCCAGCAGCGAGCGCAGCGGCCGCCGCGCCGACTGGGCCGGCCAGCAGGACGCCGCGCCGGCCGGGCCCGACCACTGGGACATCGCCGCCGACCGGGAGACGAGAGGCCGAGCACGGGCCGGGACGGAGGGCACGGCCAGGTGGGCGTCCTCAGCTGCTCATCCGAGGCGCCTCAGCGATCCAAATCACCTGGCGTACATTTCAGTCGCCAGCGGATAGTCGGGTACGCTCACTCACGGAGACGTTTCGGACACTGCAGATGACGGGAGGCCGCCGTCTTCACCGCTACGCTCGCAATAACGATCTAAATGCGCTCGAATATCACCGACACTCGTTCTCGCTGGGCTCGAATTGGACCACTCTTTGCTGACACTGGACAGACTGCCCGAAAGGTGACCGGACCGCACAGCGTTTCAGCGCGCACCGCGAACCGATGCCGACTGCCCGGCGCGTCCCGCTGCCGGCTGTCCCGCTGCGGGACGGACCGAGTCGCCGCGCCGTCCGGGGTCGGTGACCGGTGCCGCTCCTCCGCTGAGCGAGCTGAACGGTGGCCCCGGGGCATCGCTCGGCTCTCCACGGCCGCTGCACGCGAGATGAGAGCTCCAGATGCTGCGCGGAATGCAGATGTCTCCTGTCTGCCTTGTCCGTCCGTCCGTCCGTCGGTCCGTCCGTCTGTCCGTCGGTCCGTCGGTCCGTCTTTCCCGTCTGTCAGTCTGTCGCTGTCCGTCTGTTCCGGGTCTGCCCCGTCCCTCCCGGGTCTGCCCCGTCCGTCGGTCTGTCGCTGTCCGTCTGTCCGGTCTGTCGCTGTCCGTCTGTCCGGTCTGTCGCTGTCCGTCCGTCGGTCTGTCGCTGTCCGTCTGTCCCGTCTGTCGCTGTCCGTCTGTCCCGTCTGTCGCTGTCCGTCTGTCCCGTCTGGTGCTGTCCGTCTGTCCCGTCTGGTGCTGTCCGTCTGTCCCGTCTGGTGCTGTCCGTCTGTCCCGTCTGTCGGTTCGTCTTTCCCGTCTGTCGGTCTGTCGCTGTCCGTTTGTCGGTCTGTCAGTCTGTCAGTCTGTCGGTCTGTCGGTCTGTCAGACTGTCTCCCTCTGCATCTGGCTCTGTCTATGTTGTCTCTTTCCATGTCTGCCCTCCCCTCTCCCTCGGTCTCGACCCTCACCACTTTTCTCATTTGACTGTGAGTCTTCGACTGCCGCTAGGTGATCCCATGACTCATTTGCGCTTTTGGTTTGGAAGACTTCTGACTACAAGAAAACCGGAAAATTTAGGTACTCGATTCTGAATCGAGTCCGTCCGTCCGTCTGTCGCCGTCCGTCTGTCCCGTCTGTCGCTCGATCGACGATTCAACACGCCACTAGCGGCGGAACACCTTCAATTAAAGGGGGGGGGGGCACTGCCGACTTTTGGTCCCATTCTTTCCATGCAACGCCCATAGGCTAATGTTAAAATGCCAAAATAAAGGGGGAGGCTCGGTGTCCCGGTGCCTCCCCCCGTTCCGCCGGCTATGCAACACGCCCGCTTATTTTCCGTCCAGCAGCATTCGAGATGTTGGATTGTGATGTAAACCTCCGTTCGCTTTAATTATGTGACCATTAGAATTTTCGGTTTTCATTACCTCTTTGCACTTGAATAAATGTTACTCAATGCTCAACTCTATTGTTTACTGTCCCCTATCGAGAAAATCGGCGGGAAAAACAAAACGTGCGCACGCAGCTTCCGGCCTTTCCAGCAAGTTTCCGGTCCGGCAGTTTCCGGTAGCCATTGCCGCGTGGCCATTGCGTGTGTGCGTGTGTTTTGTTTTTGTTTTGGTACCGTGATATGCGAGTGAAAGAAGTTGAAGTGAAATGGTGGCATTTCGCAGTGGTTGGTGCCATTTGCCAACATATACCTACCAGAATCCAGCGAAGGAAGCGACGTCAAAGTTCACGTTTTGAGCTGGGTGGTGATGGTTTTGTGAGTGTCGCGAGTGTCGCTGCCAAGGCCATCTATCGAGTCGTTGCTGCCCGTCGGTGAGAATCAATGAAAGGTCGTCAGTGATCGACGGCCAGGAATGAAAGGATCGACGAACGCCACGTCGTCTCCTCAACTGTTACGAGGGAAGTGGCTTCAACTTTGGAGCTCAGGTCAGTCCCGATCCCACCAGGGGCGGATCCAGCTCAGAGTTTTTTTTTTGGGGGGGGGGGCAAACCATAACAATTTATCGATTCTTTCCATGCATCGTCCATAGGCGTAATGTTAAAATCATGCCGTTTGGGGGGGGGGGCAAATGCCCATTTTGCCCCCCCCCCCCTGGATCCGCCACTGGATCCCACGTCAGTCCTCTAGCGGGCACGTCTTAGACTCTGGATATGAGGTCACCTCATTCATTCCTCGTTCTGGTTCCTGCTGGGCCTGCCGGGGCGCGTTAGTTAGCCGGTCATCAACTGATTGTCGTCAGGTGACCTCGGTGACCTCGGTCCCCCCGGCGCCGGGCCGGGGGGGGGGGGGGTTGGGTATCGGCCCCCTGCGGTTTTTCGTAGATATATGAACACCCCCCTGCGGTTTTTCGCAGATATCTCAAAAACGGCGGCGCTCCGCGCCGCCGTTTTTGGCACACCTGTTAGTGTTCGTGCATCTTTTCCGCACATGTTGTGAAAATTTCAGACCCAGGTCGCCTTAGGTCAGGTCACCAGGTCACGCCAAGTGACCTCACCTCAGAAAAAAATAAGAATGCTCGTCATAGCTACACCGACTGATCGATTGCCTTGAAACTTTCAGCGATTGATAAGAACAACATTACCGTAAAGTGGGGCTATTTGAAACGGATTTTACAGTTTTTTGCCTCTCCCTTTAAGACGGCTCATATTTCTTATAGCATGTAAATTGCAAAAATGTAGTTCTCTGTGAGCTCTTTCATATAGGTGTATTTTGGTTCAGCTAGTAACAATGACTGAGGTTATTTTTTATGTTAAAGCCTGTCTCAAATAGCCCCATAGGGTGGGGCTATTTGAGACAGTTTTAGTTGCAAGGAAATTAAAGAAAATCGGTCACGCTAGAGATAATTTTTTAAACGCCATGCATTTGGAAATTGAATTTTGATCATTTTGGCATAAATTGTTTTTTCAAAGACTGTTATATGACTTTTATATTCAATCTTTCCCTTTTTCGTAGGACACTTCATTTCGGTAGGGTATAAAATTGCATCACTATATGCTAAGGCTATCATAATATGGTGTGACCCATAGCTTTCAAACTGACGGGATGATCATTAAGGACCATTTTAAA